CACCAGGAGCGGGATACCTTCCTTCCCAATTTGACAGACACATAGGTCCTCTACTGCTAATGTGTATGCAGACAGACACATTTGCTGAACCATAAATTACGATTCAGTCTGCACCATTTCTCAGATCTGCTCCTTTGGCCTGAAGCCCACCTAATTTGGCTGCTCTGCTCTGGGTTTCACTCCTTTATTTGTTTGCATTAGTACTCCACACGCTTGGCTCTCAGACTTTCAGAATTTCTGTACATCTACAACATCATCATTGGTCTCTAATCAGTATACTGTGTTGCATTATTACCAGACAGACCTATCACTGTTCTTGATTTTTTCATCACAAACTTTTAACACAACTTCATCTCAGCTTGGATAGTAGTTTGTAACTGGTCTGTCAAATGGAGTCGGATTTTGATAACAGTTTTATAGACTTATTGATCTTATAGCAATTGAGACTATAAGCAAGATTTAACAGCGTCGTACAAGCAAATTATTTAGTCATGGACTGTTTAGCATTTCCTGTTTACCAAACATGCATGTCTCTGGACTGGAAAGAAGCAACAATACTTGGATTAAAACCAAAGAGACTTCACAGAGAAACATCCCATCAACCACAGGATTTGAACCAGTAAACTTCTTGTTGTAAGACATTGTTTCACCATACCAAAACAGTGTCTTGATAATTTTTTCAATGTATTTTCTTTTTGCTGGTCAAAAGAAACAAAACAAAACAATTATTGTAATATTGAAGTATCAAGTGGTACCAGAATCAAGATGCACAAATCCACATATACAGATATGATACAGCAGTTATGTCTGTCTTTCATCCAACGGAAATCTTTGTGCACACTACTCGACTTGAGAGTACACATATGCTGCCCCATTTCAGGACCTGTCATCTATCAAATCCCACTATGAAAGTTTTTCAGGTGCTTCTCAGTTACTGCCAGCAGAAGCTGCGGCATTCTCCAAAACAAGCTCAAACAGCAAACGTCTTTGAGGGTTGTGGGAGGTAGTGAAAATCCTGTGGTGAATTCACTGTGGACTAGTCTTATTTAGGCTGGTAGCACAGGCTTTGCCAGCGACACCTTTGTAGGCTACAGCTTCTGAAGACTGTCACAACTGAAACAGGACACAGCTGGGTATACTGTAGATCCTTTGGGCAACACAGTGGTAGAATAGTTTATAAAAAAATAAAAAAACACCCAGCACGCCCCTGCGGGCGGTTTATCCTTCAAGCTCGGGTCCTCTACCAGAGGCCTGGGAGCTTGAGGGTCCTGCACAGTATCTTAGCTGTTCCCAGGACTGCGCTCTTCTGGACAGAGATCTCCGATGTTATTCCCGGGATCTGCTGGAGCCACTCGCCTAGCTTGGGATTCACCGCACCTAGTGCTCCGATTACCACGGGGACCAC